CCAGCTGCTGGGTGGTCTAATCACATCACTTTTGTTTAACGAGGTCCAGCACTTTCCTGATGCTACACTCAGCCCTAAAGGGCTCTGAGAGGACAGCCTGCTGCCACTTATTCTCTGAGGGTCAACTCTGATCCCATCCATAAACGGTAAGATGGCTGCCCTATAGGGAAAGATGCTGCTGCATGGACCAGATTAAATAAGAAGCTGAGGTTCTTGGAAACTTTGTTTCAAAGAGCAACAAAACTTTTTAAATCCTGAACGGGTCAGGTTTCAGCTTCTAGAAGTCTTAAAGGTTGATTCTGTGTAAAAATTATTCCCTGTGTCTCTGTAGATATTTTTGTTTCAGCTGTTTTGGGCTTTAATGACTGATGATTCAGATAGGTTTGGAAAATCTTGAGTTGAGGGCTGTAAGGTTTTGAGGACTTTCCTCCAGATTTAAGAAAAGTTGTTGCCTAGTGTTCTCATCTTACTTAAACCCTTGACTAGCAGCAGTTTGCGTGTGAAGAAGACATAACCATCAAACACAGGTGTAGGTTCTGTCTCTGTATCAGACATGGACCAAGTATCAGCTAAGTGATTTTTGTAGGCTTCAGGAGGAAAGACAGCAGAGACACCAGACAGAACAAAGAGGTCCACAAAGTTTAACTTTTCTTTCTGCGTCTCACCTGACCTAATTACACCAGCTCACCGGCTGCCGCTGCAACACTTTACCTTTGTTGGACGAGCTTTTATATTTAGAGTTATTCTCAACGCTGCAGCGTTTTTTGAAATCTGACTCTTTGTTTTGCCGCCTCGGCTGCAGCCCTCCGGGGACACAGCTCGCTGGAGGAGTCGGAGGAGGGTTGTTCTTCCTTCACTTTGGTTTGGTAAAGAGAATAAAAATAACTCCTGCTTGCCTTTCATTCACTACAGCTGTGAAGATTTCACTGAAACAGACTCCAAGTCCTGAGTAAGTCTACTGTCATAGGGGGGAAGTGGATCAGGTCTGACCCGACTAACACAGAGCCATGATGGAATGGTTTATATTTACCATCACTGAGTTTGGATCATCATCAGGACATAAAGAAGGAGGCTACATTTAAAACCTGTTGACTTTTGGTTAAACTTGAGTGAAAACTGGCTTTCTCATCGACATGCACAGGGTGAAGAACCCTCCAATAATAATGAAAAAGATGGACAGAGGCAGCATGAAGTCTATTTTAAAAAAAGGGTCACTAGAAAAAATTACAGGCCCTGTAATCACTCGAACCAGGTCTCTACTGACATCCCTGACTTTGGATTCAGCTGCTCCTAAAACTTGTCAACTCTGCTTCAAGTCTCATGAGACAGTGCGTCTGTCCTCTGCCAAGGTTTCTGAGGATGTGCCTCTTCAATTCTCAGTCATCCTGATAACAGACAGACCCACGATCAGCACCAGGATTGGATCTTCTTTTGGAGGTTTTTGATCAGTTTAGAGTCAATAATGACTGCAGGAGATAATACCAAATACTCAGTCCTGTTGAGACCAATAAACTGTATTATTGAGGACTGTAGCAGCTGTTCACACTCACTGCACCCCACCTGCATGAGTAACGGAACTCTGTTTCCCATCAGGCACCTCTCTTTCCTGCAGGTCTGAGGGGGCTCCTCGTCCTTCTGCAGGAACATCATCCCTCACACACACACACACACACACACACACACACACACACACACACACACACACACACACACACACACACAGGCTGCAGTAATCAGAAGTGTTACCCAGAGGCCTGCAGCGTGGAGGGGTCCGCCAGCAGAGACCCCAAATCTGAGCTAATCTGACTCATTCATATTCTGCTGCTGACACAAATGATCTGATAACGCTCATGTGGAGTGAATTAACATCTGTTGTTTGAATGGGCCTAATGTGCAGCCATTCATCAATTTCACAGCATTATACTGTTGACCAGAGGAGTGTGTGTGTGTGTGTGTGCGTGTGTGTGTGAGAGAAAGAGAGATAGAGAGACAGAGAGAGAGAGGTCCAGAGTATGTTTTCCTGCCTATTAACCCACTGGTGGAAGAATATGGAGGACAAAACTTAGACGTGTGGAGCTGACATCAAATCTGAAGGGCTGCCTCAGAGCTGCACAACAGATGAACGCTTTTCACACTCAGGCTCTGTGGTGTTTACCAAGATCTGCACCAAATCCTGCACCCGTGAGCATTGATGCTAAAATTAAATGTGCTCTGTTGCATGACTAACTTTAAGCCACAAAAGCTACTGTGCCCAGGACTGGCAACGATCTAGTCCTAAGGTCGCTTTCACACCAGAGCTGTTTGGTCCGCTTTAAACGGACCAGAGTTTGTTTCCTCGGATAGTCCGCTTCGTTTGAGCAGGTGCGAAAGCTCATCCAAACTCTGGTCCGCCTGAAAACGTGGGTCTGGGTTCACTTGCAAGTAAACCCTGGTTAGGTTCGTATGCAGTGTGAAAGCACACCGGACCAAACACAGGACCAAATGTACGTAATGACACTATACGCTGTGCATACGCAGTGCATCTTGGGTAGAGGAAGCACGGCGTCACTTGTTGCTATGGCAACAAGTGACAGCTGACATTAGCAGTTGCTAGCTAGCTTAGCTCAATTGTCTGAACAACAATAACCCATAAATTCACAATTTGGCATATTCCAATAAAATCAAATCACAACTACCAACAGTCACAGTCCTTAAACTCTAAACTCATATGTTGTCACATGTTAGATCGTCAAAGTTAGAAAAATAGAAAAATAAATCCCTGACAAGCTACGATAGCATTATAGGAAAAGTTATGTTCACTAAGGTTGTAGCATTCCATGAAATAATGTGATGAAGCACGATGCAAGATGGCTAGTCCACCCCTGTTTGTAATCCGTGAGGTTACATACCCCTCCTACTTTGTCCAATCTATGAGCGCCCCTTTCAACCACATGATGCTGTTTGGAAAGTTCAGTGCGCTTTAGAAATCACAGTGTGAAAGCAGAACCGAAACAAGTGATAAATGCAACAATGTTGCGACTTACAGCTCCCCAATCGAACTAAGTCTGCTTGGTCAGGTGTGAATGCGACCTAAGTCTGTTTCCTAAACCAGTGTAATCCAGCTTTATGAAGGTATTTTTTTTCAGTTAGTAAGAAATTAAACAGGTTGAAAATGCACTTAAACTCTGCCAGTCACCTGCAGAGAGACACTTTGCACAGCTAATAAGTTGCTCTTCAGTCAGAAATGAATGCAGAGGCTGTTAGATGGTTCAATCATTTGTGGAACAGAGGAATTGGAGACAGAGACTTGCAATAAAAAGGACAATAAAGCACGTACTGACTCCTTTTTGTGTTGGCAAACAGCAATGCTGTGTTTGGTGGGCAGGGCCAGGATGGTGACAGAAAGGTGTTGTATCCCAGAAAGTTGAGGAAAATCTGGACACCGTCACAGATCATTGTAATTCTTTGTTAGTGCCTGAAGGTAAAAGGCTTTTAGATAAAAGCTCACACTGGGTAACCTGTACCCACTGTCCTGCCACAGTTACAGTTTGCAGACATCTTTGTGGAGAAACAAAGCATCTATAGTCCAGAAAAACTACAAATCTCAGATTGTTTGTGTTTTCTTTTTTCTTCATGATTGTGTCAAAGGCAATGAATATCGGAATGTTCTTGACAACAGCTAATTCCTTGATTTTTCTCAAAATCAATAGACGTTGAATTTTGAGTTAATAGTTAATGAAAAGTTAAACGTCTATTGGTTTGCCCCCTCCTGTTACATCAAAGAAGGTCTCCAGGGTCGCCAGTCCAGTACAAGATGAATCCAAAGTCATTCCATCCATGACGATCTACAGACTCCTTTGAATGTTCTCAATTTGTCTGTGATCCGTCTTACCATGTCAGAGCAGGTTTGGATCCTCCTTCTGTCTCAGTTGAGTTACCTCAGTGTCAATGATCCTTGAGAAGGAGAGTTCAACTCTTTTAATTGATTCAGATCATTTTACTCAACAAGAACAGTAGAGACTGATATGCTCTTGGGTCATGTGTTGATACATACATATATATATATATATATATATATATATATATATATACAGCTGAGTGTCATCTGTAAAAAATAAGAAACTGTCCAGTAAAGTTTCTCCATGGAAGAATATTCAGTGAACATAAAAGAGGTCCTAGAACGCTTCATTGAGGCTCACCATATTTTATAATGTGTCAATTAGATGCAAGCAAACAGAGGCTGATATAAAAGGATTAAACACGTGATCTTTAGGGTCAAAAGCTGCATCAATGTCTTAAAGGAGTAATACAACAATTAAACCCACTGATAGAGGAGGCTAAATACAAACTCTGTGTGCTGCTTTGTCTCCAGATGATGTTAAAAATGAAGGGAACTTACCCAAAGCTCTGGTCTGCAGGCCTACATCACACCCTGATGACCTCTCTCCTGCTGTGCAGTGTTCAGTTTATCCTATAAAGTCGACTTTGAAGGAGAATCTCTGAAGAATAGATGCTACAAACAGAGGCTGCAGGAAAATGTAAATGAGCTTTCCTTTCACTGATTGTATAGGAGCAATTTAGTGGGAGGTTTGAATATACTTTTATCAGACAGGAAAGCAATGTAGGGTGATGTATGATTTCTTGGAATGAGGGATCTTTTCTTGTTTTTTTGTCATCTTTTTGATACAGCTGAGGCGGGAGGAGGAAGAGAACGAGGAGCGGAAAGAGGGAGGAGGAGGAGGCGAGTGAAGGAGGTGTAAAAGTAGCTGCTCATTCACTCAGAAACTGAAATATTCAGGGGAAAATGTGCTCGATTCAATCAAGCTTAATTCTATTTTGATAATTGTGGGTGCTGGGCGTCTGGGTGCAGCACAGCAGGGGGGCGGGGTAGCGTGTGCGAGACTGACAATGAAGCTGGGTAACAACAGCTGCTGGATGGCGGGCGAGCTCATGTACCTCAACGCTCAAGTCTTGTCAGTCACATTTCCCCTAATTAACGAACATCTGCTTTCCATTTTCAGTTACACTGCATCGCCGGCTCGTCTCGTATGAATCGCCGACTTCTGACCTCCCAGAGGACGCCGAACACTGTCACGAGTACCTGGCCAACGCCAGCCACCAGCGCCTTCCCCTTCCTGCTTTTCTCCTAGAGGCCTCCAGCTCACCACAGGGAGGAGAGGGAGGAGGGGGAGGAAAGGGGGCAGGCGCGTGGCTCTGGACCCACTGAGACTCCTCAACAGATCGTCTTCAGGGACAGAGATGCAGGAAGTGCTCTGTTTGTGTTGTGATTTCATTGGTTCAGTCGTCCTCCTGAGGCGGCGGCTTGCCTCTCTCCTAAACGACCCTGAGTTCTCCTCCATCTCCAGAGCCCTTGCCTATTCCCAAACTAACCTGCTGAACAGGTGTGTGTGTGTGTGTGTGTGTGTGTGTGTGTGTGTGTGTGTGTGTGTGTTTGGGCCTTTCTTCGAAACAAAGCTGGGTGTGTCATGTTTTTTTGTATTTTCTGCCTGAAAACACAGCACATGATGATCGGAGCGAGCAGCTGCTGGCTTCACACTCACACACATCAAAGGAGTCGACCACTGAGTTCATGTCTGAGTCGAATTTTGTTCATTTGAATCACTGCAGACAGATTGAAGATGAAGAAACAAACTACAGTGTCTTGGACGGTGGAAATGTGAAAATGCAGTCAAAGAAGGACTTTGGGGAAATATTTACAGTGTTCATCATCATGGTTGTGTTCTTCTGTTTGCAGCTGCAGTTTAGGGTGTTTGCACAGCTGAAACACTTGGAGCATTGCAGCTAAGGATTACCAAAACTTATAACTGAATTACTCCAGAATGTACACTGAAATCTGAGAGGACTGTTGAACACACAAATATAAGCCCTGAGACACAAACTAACACCTTTTAAAATTGCATAAAAACACATGAGTTGCTTTACTGTATCAAACCCTAAAAGATGCACACCTTTCTCTGCAAAAACACAGAGAAAATAAACTGTATTTATGAAGTCTTGTACATTCATATTCATATTCACTTCACTTGAAGAGCTTTGGTCTAATTTTACTCACTAAATTAATATCAGATTTTACTACTCCTCTTTCCTCCTTCTCCTCTCCCTGCTCTCCTCTTTCCTCCTGCTCCTGTCCTCTCCTCCTGCAGCTGTCTAATAGTTGGTACCTGTTGCATGTTGTAGAAAAAGGAGCTGTATCTTCTCCAAACCTTGTCTCTGATTGGTCTGAGCTGGTGCTGCTGAAGTTCAAGTCAGAACGGTGTGAGGGGAGTAGCCGTGCCCTCGCTCTGCTGTTCAGGAAGAGAGGGAAGGTGCATTTAAAGCAACATATAGGTCGTAACAGGGCAACATGGTAAGTGACATGCATTGCTTAGTCTTAATTTTTTTTTTTTTATGATGGTAGGCAGTCATAACTATAATCAGAGGGTCTCTTTAATACTGATCCTCAACAAGAACCAACTCTTTTTAATCGTTAACAACTCTTTAAAGTATTCTTCCTGTATTTAAAGCCCAGTTGTGAGACATGTGCTTGGCTCTGCAATCCATCTCCCAGGCATTTCTGCCGTTCACTGTCTGTCTGTTACTGTCTACAGGTACCTGAATCTGAATGTGCACACAGCAAACATTCACAGTGACAGGCACAGCGTTGACGTGTTGAGTGCTCAAGTAAGGAAGCTGGTCCTGATCAACTGGCCCCCCTTTTTTTATTAAATTGGCTGCTGACTATATTGCAGTGCTGCTGTCTGAAATCAAATAAAGTTCCCAAAGAATGGAAAGCATCTTTTGTGCTACCACTTCTAGGGTGGTGATCTTTAAGAGGTCAATAACCAACCAGACCAATTTCTAAACTCTGTTTTGGCAAAAAAAAAAAAAAATTGAAAAAATTGAAAAAATTGTAAGTGGGCAATTAAAACTGTTTTAGATGTAAATGGCATTTTATCAATGGTTCAATACAGTTTTAGAAAGCAGCTCAGTACTGTTACTGCTGCCGTAATTGTTTGAAATGATTTTCTTCAGGTTTTAGGTTGTAAATAAAACTGTGTTACAGCCAAGGAATTTGATACTGCTGATCATTCGCTTTGAATTGACATACTGCTCAAGATTGGCATCTCAAGCTAGGCATCCCCCTAGTTTGCAGATTACCTAACTATCAGAGCACAATGGACCTCATCTACTCATCTACATCAAGAGATGATTCAAGCAAAAAACTCATTTTCATCAAAAAAGACTTAGGCCATTATTTTAATAGTGTGATGATATGCAGGATGTATGTAGATTATCAGAATGTGCAAAATTCTGGGAGGAGCAGATAAAAATGGAATCCTTTAGCACCTGCCATGTAATTCATCAAATCCGGAAACCGATAGTGGTCACTGTTTTGAATCTATATTTAGCACGTTTGAAAGGCACATGCAAACTGGCACAGCGTTAGGCACAAATGGCTGCAGTCATTGTGGAAAAAGGAGGTAAAAGTGCAATGATAGAGGATGAAGAGAGAAAGAATTTTCTGTGCACGTGTCAACATATCTGGACTATCAGAAATAGAAACAGTAATAGTAAGTAACAGTGAGTAATAGTAAAGCCATTTTTGAGCTGCTGGGTGACCTAAGAGCTGATTTGGAGCCAGTCACAAAAATGATCCATGCCATATCTCCTATTTAAAAAGTCCTTGTAACACTGCGTATCAACACTGCATCATTCCAGCACACCATCACAGTTGGTGTGTCTCCCAGAGTAGTTTTACTCATGTGCTGTCCCAAGTGTTGAATACTATGTCAGGAAGGGCAAGTATGTCCAGTTTCCACTCACTTGGGACGCAGTAAATAACAGAAAACATGGCAGGTCTTGGAGACAGTCAAGTCTTAGAGACTGGGGCTGAGTGCGGCAGAGCTTCGGTTCTAAAAGCTTGTGATTTATTATGCCAATGACACAGTTATTTATTGCTGCTCTTCCTCACTTTCACAGCCTTGAGAATTTTTACAAACAGCTTTTATACAACTCAGGCTTGCCAACAATCTCTGAAATTGTTTTTTAGAGAAAACTAAAATCATGCTATTCTCATGTAAGCAAAAAAATAACAGAGCCTTTCCAGACCATGACAACAACCAATGGCAAGCAGATAGAGCTGGTCCCCAGCTATAAGTACTCTGGCTTTCTGCTTGGCCAGGAGCTCTCTTTTGAGGGTCACATTGCCAACCTGGTCCACAAATTGAGGGTGAAATTTGTTTTTTATTGTTAAAATAAATCTTGTTTTTCCCTCAGAGCTCAGAAATATCTTGTCTCTGCAACCTTTCTGTCACTGATTGATTATGGTGATGTTATATATGAGTGCCTCAGCCAAATGTCTTGGGTCACTAGACACTTTTTACCATTAGGCATTACACTTTGTCACTGGCTGCAGTCGCCTCACGCACCACTGTGAGCTATGTGCCAGTGTTGGGTGGCCCTACTTGAGCTTCTGGAGATTTTCTCACTAGATGTTCTTGGTTTATAAGACTCTTCTTGGCTTACTTCCATCCTACTAATGGTCCCTGTTACGGAAATCGAGGAGCACCTATGCCCTACGTTCTTGCTCAACTTAGCTTTTAAATGTGCCCAGGGTTTAGACTAAATTGGGTAAACAAGCTTTTTGTTATGCTGCCTCCATAACTTGGAATACTTTACAAACAGAACTTATATGTCAGAGCTGGTTTCTTCTAGAGCTTTTCGCGCTATACTTTTGAAGTTTAAACCATATTTCTTGTCTGTGATTTATTACCTTCATCAGAATTTGTATTTGGTATGACATGTGCTGCTGACCTCTTGGCCAGGTCACCTTTATAAATGCGATCCTGATCTCAATGGGACTTATCTGGTTAAATAAAGGTTCAATTAAAATAAATAATAATAACGTCCATCATGACAACAAGCAAAACTGCAACCCTCATCTGCCTCTGCATCTCAGACTCTCTCCATCCGCCCCTCAACTCCTGATCGTCTCCTGCAGGAGCCAGAAACAAAAGGCTAAATGATTACATTAAAAATAATTAACAGATGGGCACAGGCTGCAGAGAGCAGAGAGAAAAATATGATTTTCGACAAATGAATGCATTCTCACTCCCCTTTGGAGAGAAAAGTAGATTCAAGAACACTTTTAAATAATTTGTTCAATTTGTTCCACAGCCAAAGAAATGCGGCTTGCTGGAAATTCAGATTCATTAAAACTTAATTAATATGCATCATTATGTAAATGAGGTTGCAGTTAATGAGTTCTTAAAAGAAGCCTTCCTTAATTAGTTCACTTTTAATGGCATCATCATTTATCTTTTTTCTTTGAAGCAGAATGACGGCGCGGAAGTAGCCGCTCCCAAAAGTCCTCAAAACGCAGCTTCCTTTAATGGTTCTTATTTTCTGACTTCTATATGATTAAGACATCGTTTAGGAGGCGGAGAGCAGAAGACAAACTTTGACTGTTTGAAGTGAGGCATGCTGGGAGGATGACGTACAGTACCTGTGTGTCGAGGAGAAACGGTTGGGTTTCATTTATCCGTCCTTGCTTCCTGCCTGACATTAGGAAACATCTGTCCCCGTGCAGCATCCTGACCGCAGCAGATGGACCGTCCCCGTTTCTCCCTGTATCCTCTCCCGTGCAGCCATGGAGGTGAGGCCGCGGCGTCGAGGCCTCGCTCTGTTTCATGTTGTCACAGCTTACCTCAGCTCCTAATTGATAACCACTGGCATTTGATCTGAAGGCGTTCAAACAGCCCGTCTATCTCTGTGCCTCCAATAAGACGAACCATCTGTTGTTGCCCGGCCCGCCGTTCATTAAATCTAATTTCCTTCAGCAGAAATAAGGTTTTAATTGTAGCTGCAGCGCCAGGGTTAGCGTGAGCGGAGAGTAATGGCTTTGTGAGCGAGACGGGAGGCTGAGGACGCAGCAGAGATGGATGGATGGACGATTGATTTAGATTGTGGAAATCTGTTTCACTCACGGCGGTAGTTTTTCACCAGAGAGGAGAGGAGTACAGTGAGGAAGAGTGTTCACTGCAGAGCCTCCTATTGGCAGGTGACAAAGGAAACACATGACTTTGATACATGAGGAGCAGATTGTTGCATTTCTACAAGTTTCTAACATGACTTTAACACTGAGCAGACCATGCAAGGATGAAGCTCTGGTCTTGCTTCTTCAGTTTGGGGTATTTGATAGTCATCTTAAGTCACATACCTCTGAAAGGTGTATATATGTTTTTGACCTGCTGTCAATAAAGACTACCCTGTCAGGATATGAAGGCTCTCTTGACTCAGTGGGCTGCTATAGGTGATTTCTGGACAGGTAAACACAGCTGAACTTTATTTAAGAATGAAGTCCTGCGGCCCTTTAGGACCAATAACTTCCAAAAAGAATATCTAACCGAGTGTGTGTGTGTGTGTGTGTGTGTGTGTGTGTGTGTGTGGGGGGGGGGGGGGTTCAGGCCATCCCCCCTCAGTCCATCTAAAGTGTCCATCTGGTGTAAGTAATTTTGAGCCCATGCCGTGACTCCGACTCCTGTATGTTTTTAATGCGGTGCTGCCTGAGGGCCTGAAGACCAGCACCATCCAGTCTTGGTTTTGGTCCATGTCCCTTTAGTGCAGAGATTTCTCCAGATTCTCTGAATCTTTAAATGATATGATGTTCTGTAGATGATAAAATCCACTCATTTTTTCACATCTCACACTCAGAAACTTTATTCTAAATCTGTTGGACTATTAGCTCACACAGTCTCTCACAGAGTGGTGAACCTCTTCCATCTTTTCTGTGTGACTTAGCCTCTCTGAATGTCCTTTTTATACCCAATCATGTTACAAACCTGTTGGAAATTAGCCTTTTTTAAAATATTTTTTGCTTATTTAGCATTACACAACTTTTTACCTGTTTGGTCGTTCCTCTATTAGAACTTTTTTTCCTGCCCGATTGTTTCTCTACAAGAACTTTTTACCTGTTTGCTTGCTCCTTCAACACCTTTCAGAAACATGTAGCTGCCATCAACTTTAAAATAAGCATTTATTTTTTTTTACAAATCAAAAATAGTTTTAAATTTTAAATGTTGTCTTCCAATATTTCTAAATAAACATAGTTTTAAAATGATTTTCATCCATAAAATTTTATTTTGTCAATATTTTACACAGATGCCAACTCTTTTTATTGTTTTTCTTCCTCTTACTTTAACCTGTTTGGTTTTGCACAATTTCTGTTTTTGTTTATGGAAAAAATGTATGATGTGCTCTCACTTTGAGCTCACTCAACTGCTACAGTGCCAGCCAATGAAAAGAAGTCTGTGATCTTTGCAGAGAGGTCGTAGTTGTGTTGGTTTTGTCATTGATATAAAATCAGGAATGACTTGAGAGTCGTGATACATAAAGTCAGTAGATCCTGTGTTATTCTCTATCTGTGGGCTGACTGTTCACTGGTTAACTACAGTTACAGTGCCTGCACAGATGGTAATTAAAATAGTGTGCTAAACTGGTCACTGAACAGTCATTTACAACAATAGAAGATGCTGCAGATGCTATATAAAGGGGTTGTTGTAAATTGAGCGGCGTGGTGAAGTTGGCCGGAGATTCAAGGCGTTTCACAGAGTAAGTTTATTTTTATCTCTGAGTTAGAGCTCTTTGGAGGTGCTGGCAGAATGAAGAGGGTGGTGGGCGGTAAAATCACAGAGCGAAGGCCCCGGTGTCATGTGCACAACCACACTGACTTATAAATTACATCAGATCCATGTTTCTTAAAGCCTTTATTTAGACGACGGGGGGGTCTCACAGGTGCATTGAAGGCACCTTGGAGACCTGAACTGGAAACACCAGACACTCCTCTGGACCAGTACACTTGTAGTCTGATACATCTGATTGACATTATTTTTGGAAACCATGGACACAGTTCTGCTCTTTACAAAGTGGAGGGACCACTCAGCTTAGGAAAAACGTGGCCATTTTTTTAAAAAACTGGGGACATGTTGTTGTCTGCTCTAAAGTTGAAAGGGACCACCCAGCTTGTTCTCAGCTCCTGGTCCAAATCCAGCACCCCTGATGGTATGGGAATCATCAGGGTCCATGTCATGGGTGTCTTCCACATCTGTGAAGACTCTATTAAAGCTGGGGTAGGCATGATCTTAGAAGGGCCAGTTTTTGGAAGACACTTTGAATGTAAACATTACCCTTCCCCACTAGTTTTAAATTAAGTTGTAAATTATCATTGTCATTACCAATTACATCAGCAAAGACTTGAACAACTTTTGTCACAACAGAGTCAGCAGTAGTAATGGTGCATAAAAGATGACACATAAGATAAAATATAACATACATTTATTGGAAAAATAATATCCAAACAATAAGCTAGATGTACATCTTGTTGGGCCTTTATGGTGTACAAACTCCTTGCTCTGGACTTTCTGTTATACAGCTTGGGGTACCTGAAATGAAGAGAAGGAGAGTTTGGTATGAAGATGTTGCTCTGTCTCAAATATTTGTTGTACTTATTTATTTATTTTATCTGTAAATTTTCCAAGCTGCTTGTTATGACCAGGGGTCATATGTTTCCTGTTTTTTTTTCATCAGCACATTTTGTTTGTAGCTTACCCTCCCTATCTGTGGTAGGTGCTGTTCCTTTGTGTCTGCTTTGTTTTTCAGGAGAGGACTGTGGCCTGATTGGACAGCAGCTGAGGAGGGAAGCTGTGAAAAGGGTGGCTGCTGGAGGAGCTCTCTCTCTCATTCCTTTGTCTCGACTCCCAGCCAGACCTGTGTTTTGTGGAGGCTCATTTTGTATTAGGATATTGGAGACCTTGTGAATTTTGATTTGTCTTTTATGACCAATAGTTTGAGTTATTTTAAGAGCAGTCTGGTAGGTAGGGGTGGGCAGCTATTTTATTTGTACAAACTTTTCTCGTGTTTTGGGTTAGGGAGGCAGGTAAGACCCCTGTATTTTATTTAATACAATTTCTTTTGTTAGGTAAGATTGATTTAAATAAAAATAGGTTTTGTTTGTTGTTTTGGCCTGTGCCCACCCTGAAGTCGACAACCATTTATGTTAAGAAATAAATTTAAGACATTTTTCTTGTTGGTTGTCGGTTTTCTTGGGGAGTTGGGGCAAAGGAAGGAGAACTTTATGTTACATCCAGCATACCCCTAGGCTGGGTCGTAACACTGCTTCATCAGTCAACAACACCACTATGCAGACTTTTTAAAACAACAATGGTGCTTCTAATTAAGTTTAGATATCAATAAAGATCAATACTTTAGATAATCAGAAATGAGGCCCAGTCAACATGAAAGTAAATAGCACTGGTGCTACTGTAGATGCCAACCATAGACTGTATATACTAGGACAACTTGGTTCCGCCTACCGCCTGTATACGGATTTGAAGCCAAAAAGCTCTCTGTATTTCCGGGATTTTTCTTCATTTTCTGAAACCAGCGCTGCGCAGTAGCGATGCACGCATTCGGCCGTGCAGTCGCAGAGAGTCGCTGTGATGATGCTCGGCTACGCAATCCCTGAACGCCCATAGGCTGTATCAGGTGTCAATCATAGAAAACATGAACCCCCTAATAACTTTTGAAAATGGAGCCATACAGAAAAAAGAGGACTTAAGCACAAACCAGTCTTACTGTAACTGTGGCGTGTGGTGTATTTTGTGGACCCAAAAGCAGACTCAGAGACAGACATCCAGTTAAAAGATGTAATTTTAATGTCCAAACTCAGGGAGAAAAAAGGTATGAGAGAAAGTCCAGTTGGCTGCCTGGCCGTTGTATGGGCTGGAGACACTGTGGAGAAGCAGAGGAGAAGGAAGTGAGAAGACATGCAAGGAATCACAAGGTGCAAAAAAGTCACGAGCACTTATCCAAGGAGAAGAAGGCCAGGAGATGCGTCTGTACCACTCAGGAGAGAAGACAATACTCAGGCGCTGAGACTGAGGGCTGCTGGCTTCTTAAAGGGCCTTGATTGTAGATGCAGTGCAGGTGTGGAGTCTCACTCAGCCTCAGCGACCAGGGAGAGGGAGGATGCTCTATAATAGAGTCAAGCCAGACCAGGGAGACAAAGTAACAACAGGAAGTCCAACCAAAAAAAAGCAAGAAGAGGAGGCGTCTCACCACAGTAACCACATATCAACATCACAAGCAGGGGGGAAAAAAATGTATGTTCTGTGTAATAAATTTCTAAAGTTTGTCCACAGCCCCATAAGCTTTGCTGGCAGAGGCGGGATTTATGACCTATACTGCAGCCCATCAACAGAGGGTGCTGTTCTGGGAGTGGCTTCACCCAGAGAGGAGGCAGACTCTGTCCATTCTTTATACAGTCTATGATGCCAACAGACTACCATGCAGACACTGGTGACTGTAGGCATGCAATATGACCAAAATGTCACATCCTACAACCTCTTCAATACAGCATCACCTGTACGGCGGCCATTATGACCGCTTACAAGCACCACAACACATTTAGATATTAAGGGAAAATGAAGTTAGCAGCTTACTGGTCCAGGAGATGAAGCAGAGCTTGGAATCCAGCTTGAAGCCGATGCTATCCCGCAGTCTCCATCTCTGAAATGCTGCTCCGATATTTCCCCGTGTTTTGTTGCGTGAATTGTCAGATTCCGTTTTAGACTCTCTTTTAGAAAAGTCAGTCTTACGTTTTTTGGCCTACTTTTTAGTGCAGGCAGTTGTTGCCCATGCAAGAATAGATACTTTCTCTCTCTGACTATCCGCCATTGTGACCCCCCGTCTCGGTACAGATTTTCTTAAGTCTGTTTACAAATCCAAGAGGAGAGGCAGAAGGGTGATCTTCCCTCAGATCATTACAAATTCAATATGCTGAAAGGTGATTATGAAATTTTAGCAAAATTATAAAAAAATAATATTCTGCCTACTGAATCTTTAAGCATGGCTCTGTAGGAGAAGAGTCCTACTGACAAACTGGAGTGTTATTCTCACAACTGAGCCATTTTTTTTTTTACTGAAAATGTTTTGAGGTTACTCTTGTTCAGGTTTTGTGGTATCTAGAAAACAGAAGAATTAACTTGACTGTAAACATACACAACAATAAATATCCATACATATAAGGTTTTATACAGTCAGCTCAAATTTGTCATTTTGTACGTTCTGTTTTTGACTTCAACTTCTTTCAGAGACCAGACTGAGGTTAGAGAAAAACTTAAAAGCCAGATAAAGATGGAAATAAACAGAGCTGCTGTCCACAGAGATGACTGTGTGTGTGTGTGTGTGTGTGTGTGTGTGTGTGCGTGCGTGCGTGCGTGTGTGTGTGTCAACTTGTTGTAATTTTACAGATGTGATTTAATTAATGTGTGAGAGCGTCCTTGGACTAACAGCAGCAGACAGAGCCATGTCACCATCCTCTGACCTGTTTACGAGCTTTGTCTGAGTCAGAGTGACGAGGACGAGAGAAGCCCTGCAGCCAGGTCCACACAGAAACGATGTGACACAAGTGTGTGTGTGTGTGTGTGTGTGTGTGTGTGTGCGCCTCAGTGTTCTGACTGCTCACATCCAGATCCAGATTAGCATAGATGTCCGTTTAGCACGCGACACATGATCCCTCTTCCCCCCAGTGCTTGAGAAACGGACATAAAGAGAGGTGACAGAGAGAGAGGGAGGTAAAGTCCCAGACAGAGCAACCTCGCCCCTCCTCCCCAACCAGGGGGAGGCAGCAATCAAACTGTAGTGGGATTGTGTGTATCTGTTTGTTTTCGTGTGTGTTTGACAGTTGAACAGATGTGATGTCCAGAGTTGTGCGAGGCCATTTAGCGACGCCCCGCCACATTAGCAGCAGGATGGACAGGATGAGATGATGGACTGTAACATGTTGTTGTTGCTCTATTGTCGCCTTGGATCATCACTTGATTGTGTGTGTGTGTGTGGGTGTGTGTGTGTGTGTGTGTGTGTGTGTGTGTGTGTGTGTGTGTGTGTGTGTGCGTGTGCATGCGTGCGTGTCTTTGATTGGAGAACTGTTTTTATCTTCTGGTTGTAAATGTGTTGTTGAATGAGTTGTGGAGATGGCCGGAGAAAGAAAGGACTGAAACGCTCCCTCAGGCAGAGGTCATGTAAATGATATAGTGACCAATAACTTTGGAGGGAAACTGCATCAAATTAGTGACAGAACAAAACTTTAAAGGTACAGTACAAGACAACCTATGATGCTGAGTTTTTACTTTCTGAAGGAATGAAGAACTCAGCGTTCTTGCTGGTCTTATGCCGCCTTTGTGTCTTTTTTTGATCACTGACATGCCTTTATTTTAAAAGGAAGCACAAGTATCTCCACAAAGCAGTAAGGCCAGGGACATACCTTATGAAATAGCTGTGCACATCCTCAGAAATAAAAGCAACCTTGCTCTAAGGTGCAGTGATCACGGTGATCAGTTGTGAGCATAGTTACTCGATCTAACATGGCAGAAATGTGTGTGACAACAGCCAATCAGAGTTGAGCCTTTCCTGCTCCACTTCTGTAAGTTGCCGGAGAAGTAAACAGGGGTAGTAAAAAGAATGACTGAATGGGAAGCTGAGGGCAGCAAAATAGATGTCAGCCATGAGTTTGAGTCATCCACCAAAGATGTCATTGTTGAAAAGAAAGTTATTAAACGTCAGTTGTGTGGTGGTGGTTCGGTATCTCCAAAGTGACATTGAGCAATTGAGCCAATGTGCATGGTATGTCGGTGGTTGGTGTCCTCAAAAACCGGCAACACAACAGATCTGTTTAATCATTTGATGAAGTGATTATGTGGACAGCATGAAAATGCAAGTAGAGTCTGTACAGCCTGTCACTGCTGATGGCACAAGTAGCATTAGCAGTTTAGCCACAACTAGCAGTGCAGCCACTAAACTAAAGCAGCAATCAATCCTATCATCTATGTTTACATCATCTAATGTTTACATTTTAAGGCGTTTTCATTATTCCTGAGGGGACCATTTATTTGTTTTAAGTCTAGCAATCCTGCTAAAACACTGAGGACTGTAAACTAGTTTACTGTATTATTTCATATTTATCTACATTTGTTATACTATTGAGTAAAAATGTTTTTATATGCTTCTATGTTTATCTTCCTTTAATTTGCCTCATATTGACTTTGGATTTTAATATAATGTTGAACTAATCTTTAGTTTCTTAAGTTTTTTGTACAGGTGCTTTAAAACTCGCAGTTTAAGAAAATACAAAACAATCGTGATAATAATCAAGATCAGACGATATGACAAAATATATCATGATTTTTTTTTTTTGCCAAATCACTCAGTCCTATGTTCTTGCTCTACAGAAATTTTGTATCTCCCAAGCTTTACTTCTGTAAACAACCTCCAAAATGACAACGATATTTGCCTTGTTGTAATTTCCTGATCTACAAAACCCAATTCCATTGTAGTTGGGAAATTATGATAAACGTAAATAAAAACAGAATACAATGATTTGCAAATCCTTTTCAACCTATATTCAATTGAATACACTAAGAAGACAAGACATTTAATGTTCAAACTCATGAACTATATATTTTTTGCAAATAATCATTAAATTTAGAATTTGATGGTAGCAACACATGACAAAGAAGTTGGGAAAGGTGGCAAAAGATACTGAGAAATTTGAGGAATGCTCATCAAACACCTATTTGGAACATCTCACGGGTGAGCAGGCTAATTGGGAACAGGTGGGTGCCATGATTGGGTATAAAAGCAGCTTCCCCAAAAATTCTCAGTTATTCACAAGCAGGGATGGGGCGAAGTTCACCACTTTGTGAACAACTGCATGAGCAAATGGTCGAACAGTTTAAGAACAACGTTTCTCAAAGTACAATTGCAAGGTATTTAGGGGTTTACACATCTGCGATCCATAATATCATCAAAAGGTTCAGAGAATCCAGAGAAATCACTGCACGTATGCGACACGGCCAGAAACCAACATTGAATGCCCGTGATCTTCAATCCCTCAGGAGGCACTGAATTAAAAACCAACATCAATGTGTAAAGAATATCACCACATGGGCTCAGGAACACTTCAGAAAACCACTTTCAGGAAATACAGTTCGTTGCTACATCTGTAAGTGCAAGTTAAAACTCTACTATGCAAAGCGAAAGCCATTTATAAACAACATCCAGAAATGCCGCCGGCTTCTCTGGGCTCAAGCTCATCTAAGATAGACTGATGCAAAGTGGAAAAGTGTTCTGTGGTCTGACGAGTCCACATTTCAAATTGTTTTTTGAAATAGTGGACGTCGTGTCCTCCAGGCCAGAGGAAAAGAACCATGTTGTTGACGCAAAGTTCAAAAGCCAGCATCTATGATGATATAGGGGTGCATTAGTGCCTAAGGCATGGGTAACTTACACATCTGTGAAGGCAACATTAATGCTGAAAGGTACATACAGGTTTTGGAGCAACTTATGCTGCCATCCAAGCAACGTCTTTTTCATGGACGCCCCTGCTTATTTCAGCAAGACAATGCCAAGCCACATTCTGCACGTGTTACAACAGCATGGCTCCGTAGTAAAGGAGTGTGGGTACTCGACTGGCCTGCCTGCAGTCCAGACCTGTCTCCCATTGAAAATGTGTGGTGCATTATGAAAAATATATATAAAACGATAAATATTATAAAATATGACAACAGAGACCCCAGACTGTTGAACAACTGAAGCTGTACATCAAGCAAGAATGGGAAAGAATTCCACCTACAAAGCTTCAACAATTAGTCTCCTCAGTTACCAAATGTTTATTACCTCTGCCAAGGTTTACTGGCAGTGCTACTGTTTTCAGTAGCACTGGTTTGTTTGATTGTTTGTTTGTCTGTTAGCAACTTTACGGAGAAAGTAACAGACGGATTGACCTGAAATTTTCACCAGAGGTGTGTCTCAGCCCCAGGAGGATCCCATCAAATTTTAGTTGTGATCCGGACAAAATTCTGGATACTGTGATCCAGAACACATAAAAATAAGGGTGTTATTGGAATTTTCAATGCTGAAAGATAACCAATGGGCAGCACAGTGGTGTAGATAGGCGGCACAGTGGTGTAGCGGGTTTATGAGTTTGAACATTAAATATCTCGTCTTTGTAGTGTATTCAATTGAATATAGATTAAAAAGGATTAGCAAATCATTGTATTCTGTTTTTATTTACCTTTATCACAATTTCCCAACTTCAATGGAATTGAGTTTTGTAAAAAAGAGTCATGGTCCTGAGTAAAAGCTCTTTGTCTCTGTCTGAGTCTGACAAGTCATGTAAAAGAGTTAAAGCTTTACGGGGACCATGTTCCCCCTACAGGAAAAAAAAGATGGTAACTGCATAAACAACTCACATCACACATAAACACATCACAGTTAACAGTGATCAGACAGATGGAGGATGATGGAAACAGAAAAGGGTGATAAATCTTGTAAAATTGTGTCTTCCTGTCTCTTTGTAGAGTTACGTTAACGTCAACATTCAAAAGTTGCAGTTTTATATTTTGAATTTTGCACGATCCATCTGTTTGAAAAACGCTGTTAAATATGACTGAACACTTCTACACAAACTCGGTGAGTACAAGGCTCATTCACTGTTTCCCTCTTATTCAAGAACCAGTTTTTCTGACATCCCTCATCCACATTAGTTTGTATTGTTGATGATGTGACAGCTGCTCAGTGTCCTCTCTGTGATGGAGAACAATAGTGTCCATCATGTCACTCAGAGACATTAAGCACATTTAATCTGACAGATACACCAACACTGAACACTCTGCAAACTCCAAACCTGCTGGGACACCCTTTTTACTCACTTAAACTTCACACCAATGTAGAGCATCATGCAAAGATACAGAAAGATGCATGCATGTTCACATTTCTAACATGTCTCCACAGAAGGATACACTAAAGACATGCAGGTGTTAATGATAATGGTGCAAAAAAAGAAAAACCACAAAAAAAAAAACCTGCAAATATGAAATACTGAGGCAATCTCTCTGTCACCAGCATGCATCAGGACAATTTTCGATGAATCTAACTCAGCGTGTTTAACGTAAATACTGTGGTCGTGTTTTGAATGACGGAGTAGACGTACAGTACGCTAAATATTGTGGTTCTTAAATGTCTGATAGCCAGTCTCCTAGCTCCAATGGCTCCTATGTTTTGGACATCACTTTTAATGTCTATAACGGGTACAAGAGTGTGCAGTAGGTGCCAGCAGAGAAGCTGCACAAACAAATCTTTTTCTATAACTTCAAATGTAAAAAAAAAATTAAAATAAAAGAAACATTGGAGTGTCAGGGGTCATCAGGAGGAGATTTCTGTCATAAGTCACTGTAAGTATTTTTACTGAATCTTTATTTCAGCAGGTCAATCCTATTAAGACTTTTAAAGGAGACCTGGTCAAAAGGCTGCAGACACAAACACTCAGACAACCTAACTGGATGTTACTCAGGCGGGCTTTAAACATGTTTGTCTCATCACTGTGTCATCAATAAAAATAACAGTCTGTTAGGTTATGACAGATTGATGTATCTTACTCATTGAGTGTGTGCTGTGTGCAGGTGTCAGCTCGTCCGGTGGTTACCAGCACAGGGAGGAGAGCTGACCTTGGCCCTAACGTGCAGCTGAAGACGTGTTTTATTTAAAGTTGCACTTTTATAAAATGTTTTTTTTTAATAGTCTGACATCTTTCCGTTGAACAGTTGAAATGTTTGATTATCATTTTCACTGCACTGGTACCATCCCTCCTGCATCTTTATTATCTAGCTCCTATTTGACACTTTTTAAAAACTTGGTAAAACAAGCTGACCCCTTTTTTTGTGGTAGTCTGCATGCAAGGGCACCATAACAGGTCTCCAGATTGAACCTGCACAGTCTCGTCAGTATAACCATGACTGAGCTGCCAATAAACACCATTAAGAAATCAACCTCTTGAATGTTGGTGCAGGAAACAACTATCTTGGATTAATTGCTCCAGTTTACTGGAGTTTGTCTGAGCAGGGAGTGCCCCTGTCCCTAAAACTCCTCAGGAGGAAAGGCTTCATTCAAAACTACAGAAATCTCAGGCAGGAAGAAAATCAGAGCTGAAGTTTGAAAAGATTTCTCATCCTGAGCGTGTGATGTTGAATTTCCTCCTCCTCCTCTTTGGTGAGTGAGTTAGAGCCATGACCTCTGACCTCCTCACATGTTTAACTCACAGCAGCAGCAGCAGCTTTAAGCTGTCCTGTAACTCCTGTCCAAAACTCAAACTCCCCCAAACTCTTCCTGATCCTCCATGTTGTGTTTCCTTCATCTACAGCAGCAAGCGCTCACTGAGCGTGTGCAGCAGTTGGCCCGGGCATGTTGCAGGCTGTATTTAGAGCAGCCGAGCGGACCGAGCCCCCCTTTGTTCTGAGCTTGATGAGGAGGAAACCCTGCTAGGCTGCGACGAGTTCTCATCATCACCCCGCGTCTCTGCCAAGCTGCTCAGAGCCGGCGAACAGAGCGCAGAGCAGGGTGGAGGATGATTGACAGGACAAGGAGACGGAGCCTCGCTGCAGAGGAACAGAGCTTTAAAATGTGTTCCCATCTCGTTTCTGCTCCGTAAGGAGGGGATCGAACCGCTTGGAGGACTGGCAGGCGCTCTGCTCTCTGAGCAGACGCCCAAATGAGCAGAGATGAGCAGAGATTCACAAAGTCCTGCAGCAGAACTGGAGTGCCCTGCATTTATTTAAACAAGGTTAAATGTCACAATGTTCAGATTTTAACATCAGACAGGATCTGTGCAAACTCTTAATGCTTTTTATTCTGCTGAAAGTGAAGTTTCAGATTTTGATCTTTTATCAGGACTGTGTTTTTGTGGCGTTTTTATGAATACCGAAATAAAACACAGCTCATACACACCGTTTTTTCATTTAATGCATGAACCCACTCAAATCCACACAGCAGTTTTAGACAAAGAGCTGCAGTAGATCAAGGATAACAAATCTGATAATTTAGTGGTTATTGGGTTTAATTCAGGGAGTTACAAAAACATGTGCAGAAACCTTTTGGATGGAATAAAAAAAAAAGATGTATTTTTCCTTTCTGTCTGATTAAGTCAATATTATTTCTGCAGTTTGATGTTAATGCTGGACTTCACTTCACCCTAATATTTTTAGCATCATAACAGTTAATGTTTCTCAGAATTTGGTAAAATTTTTAAATAAATGAACTGGACATAAAAAATTGTGACACTCAAATTATAAAACCTGCACATGCATCTTAATTTAAATCTGTATCCAGATGATCATGGGTCTCCAGATAGGTCACACACCCTTAAATGCCAACATTATGAAATATCACCCAGATTTGAAAAAAAATCACTGACGATGACGAGCATGATCTGTTTACTGCACTTCTGTTTTTTACTGTGTAATAATGTAAGCTCTTTATTATCCATGTTTGTTACATGTAGGTTTATAAAACTGAAGGATGCTCGTCTGCAGAGTTCACCTGAACTCTTATTATCTCCTTTAAATAAAATCAGATTCATATTTTATCATCATCACAGCAGCTCCATGTGATACATTGCAGTGCAAAAAATTTAACCTTTGGAAGTATTTTATTCTAATTTTAGTAGACGTTGTCTGATTTGGGTGAGTTAAAGCTACCTTCACCAAACAAGTCTAGACAAAAACATCTGTCCTCAAGAAACAGGCCAAAAATAAGACCATGTGTGGAAAAAAATAAAAATAAAAAATAAAAATCTACCCAGAAAAAAAAATAACAAAGAGAGAGTTTTCTTCTCTTTGAATCTTAAAATGTCCTTTCTCTCAAAATCTTGCGAAATGTTCAGATATTTTTTTTATTAAAGTGAACCTGTCTAATTTTTCGGCGTGCAGCATTTTCAAATGAGACTTTTTTTCAGTTTCATCAGGTGACTGTGTCTTAAGTTAAACCTGATTCAACACTTCAAATTTGTGACTTTGCAGAGTGGAAACAAAGTCAATGCAAAAATACAGAAGCTTTCAAACATCAGAAAAACAAAATCAAGGACATACATGATTAAAGGGAGGCTCAGCTAAACCAGAAGACCTTACCCCTGTAAAACCTTTGGAAGCTTTCTTCGACATAAAAATCACAAAGCAGTTTCTCTGGTCTGTAAGCTAAAGGCTGCAGCAGGTGAACTCAGGGGTCTGAAAATGAGTGAAAAGCTGGAGTTGGTTGATGTTTAATGTCATATATTTAAACCTGCTTAAGACTTTAATTTGACTGAGAAATGCAGAATTTGATAAATAAAAACAGACATTATTGGGTCAAAAGCTGCACACTAAGGTTAAGAGCATTGGGATTATTGTCTCTAAAGGTCCAAGCTGATCTGGAGAAGGTTTCATGTTTAGCGCCTAAACCCTGAGGGCAGATTGTGTATCTCTTCCAGAGTTAACTACTGCAGCATCTTCCTCTGTCTACATAAATCAAAATTGTGTTTTCTGTTGGTCATCAGAAAGTTTTCTGCAGAAACATCAGCTCCTCTCAGTGTGGGTAAAAAAGTGGTGTAAAATAAATCTCACCAGTTCATCCACAGCAGAGTCAGACTGATGTTTTCTCTCTCTGTGTGTGTCTCTCTCTCTGTTACGTTCTGCATCAACAAAGCAATTTGTTTCCCCGGAGTGTGCTAATTTCCAGATTTCACAGTGCCAGGTGTTACGGCTGCCAGTCATTACATGAAAATCAGCAAAACCTTAACCACGGTGCTTATCCTCGCCACCAACACGCCGCCCGGCTCAATCCGCTCTGATTTCTGGGTGAGGAGTGAGGGGGGAGTCGGGAAAGGAGGTTAAGTTCCTAAGTGCATGTTCTCTTGTGTTTTACTTTGAACAAAAAAAAAAAAAAAAAAAAAAAAAAAAAAAGAGTCTGACAGACGCTGCACGCTCTCTGCTGAATTACTTTTTTTTTTTTTTTCTGCAGCAGACAAAGATCAGAGCTGTTTGATTCGTGTGCATTCACAACAAGAAGTGCACGCCTGTAGCACCCGGTGGTTTTGGAGATACCATCAGTTAGAAAGAGGTAAAATAAAGAAATGAGGAAGAGGAGAAAACATAGAATAAAAAGAAAAAGAGGAGAACTGGGCTTACCCTGCTGATAGCATTCAAGAACAACTCTTTGCATTTAACTCCAGGTTTAATCCAGGGTTCAAATTTTAATCTTTACTAATTAAATGATATAAATGCAGACAAGAAAAGATGTAAATCATGATTGAACAGAAGGCTTTTTTATCTCTTTCCTCTCTGCAGTTGTTTTTAAGTCATTATGTGCAAACGATAAGTAATATTTATACAATAAAACATTTTTTTTAAATTCATATATACTTTCCTTAGAAGTGTTGCATTAAATTATAACTATCTAAGAAAGAAGAGAAATATTGTTCTTTTATCGTCTGTGCGCTGGTGTCATGTGATTTATTCCAGGACGGCTGCAGAATAATTGTGCTCTCAATATGTGTTGGGATATATTTAGAGCTGTTAATACGTGGCATTAATTATGCACATGTATGTTCGACTAATTAAATCAATCAGAGCTGCAGAACAGAGCCAGGAAACTGTGTGTGTGTGTGTGTGTGTGTGTGTGTGTGTGTGTGTGTGTGTGTGTGTGTGTGTGTGTGTGTGTGTGTGTGTGTGTGTGTAAGAGAGAGAAAGAGAGAGAGAGAGACCTGCCTGTTTTTAAAGCCGCCAGGTTATAATTTGTCTTTATGGAATTATGGGTTCATTTAAACACAGAAGAGATAAAATTATTCCTGTTTTAAGTTTGATTGTTCTTACACTTCTGTGAAAAGAAAATGACATTTCCACACAAAGTTTTATTTATTTTAAGGAAAATCCACACTTGATAAATTATTAAAGGCTGCTGGGACTATCAGTGCGGTGTGTGTGTGTGTGTGTGTGTGTGTGTGTGTGTGTGTGTGTGTGTGTGTGTGTGTGTGTGTGTCATTTAAATCTGCTCTCTGTCTGTCTGTCTGTCTGCCTCTTGGTCGTGTTCACAGCTGTGTTAAAAAGGGGAGAGACCCCCTGTCCCACATACACACACACACACACACATTGACAGGACGTCTCAGTGTGTATGTCGCCTGTCGAGGAACTTCTCTCAGGGTTTTGACTCATTGAAGTCTCAGAGGTGATAAAATTATGTGTCCTTGTGTTTCTGCAGGGTGATTAATGTTTCAGCGACATCTGCTCCACCTTTGATTTACTTTTTATTCTGCACATTCATGCTTTTCTGAATCTATAATTAATGCACATCAATGGTAATCAATATTTATCTGGAACAGCAATTTATGTAATTAGACTTAATAGAGTTGTGGGAATCTCATTATATTCAAGTTTAGGCTCAGAAATTAAAACATCTGTGAGTTCAGTTATTGATGGAAAAAGTTGGAAAGAAGAGAAGTCTTTAAATGTTTCTCTTGAACATTTATTTTAATTTGAAAGGAACTCTCGGAGGAAATGAGAGTGAAGGTGCAGCCGTGGTGAGGAGGAGGATGGGGGGACAAAGGGGAGGGCAGCCTGCCATTTTTTCTGTCAGCCTCTTCCTGCTTGCTTCAACCATCACCCCCCTTAGTGGCCCCGCCCACGATGATACCAGGCCACAGGGGCTGGTGGGCGGGCGAGGCAGGAAACAGGAAATCATGAGGGAGAGGAAGCCATGGGGGTGAGAGGCGGCGGTGGCCATGACTTGCCACAGCTGCCACCACCACTCTGAGAGAAGCTCTGTGTCCCAGTTAGCTCCTTGTAAACAAAGGAGGAAGTTTTACCTCAACTCTGCATGCCGTCCTCCACACACACACACACACACACACAAAGCCGTCACAGCAGCATCTCTGTCCTCCATCAGATAAGAGGAGACGCTCTGCAGCTCGCTCTGATAGCAGAGGTGTCACTCGTGAAGGGCGCCATCCCCGCTGATCACGCTGCCGCCGCCAATGAAAGGTCGGCAGAGCTTGGGTTCGCACGCCACCCCGCATCTTGTCTCCTTTTCCTTCTCTTGTCTCCTTGTTTGTTTGAAGCAGACATTTTTCTCATGGCGGCCTGGAGAGCGTCAGAGCTAGGAGAGGAGCACGTTGCTGGAACATGTGAGACAAAGTTTCAAATGTGTTCAGAGAGGAAACGATCTCTGAGCTCGGCTCAGCTGTCAAAGTAAAGGGTAGGTATGGAGACGAACCTCACTGTCATACCCATTTAAATCATAAAACCCTGAAAACAAACAGTGATGACTTTTAAAGATCTGATGAACAAACTATGGGGCTCTGAAGAGGCAACATGTTTGACGGACAGCTGCTGGTCCTGTTGAAGAGTGGACACTCACAGATCTGTTACACCATCAGAGCGATGCTGAGGTGAAGCTGCTCTGCTGCCACATCATTGGCTGTCATACAGGATTGACCTTAAACTCTCTCTGGGTCTGGTTTTGTTTGTTGTGTTAATTTGAAAAATGATGAAAATCTGAATATGGTATATTAGCACCTCCATCTGCTAGTACAAGTTAGCTGAAAACCAGATGATACGAGTTTGTACAAAGTCATTATGATTGGCTCAGTCAGACAAGAAACTGAAAAAAGCTCATGAGCAAATGTATGCAGCTATCTGTGCTTTGCCATTGACTACCATTGTGTGTAATATACAGTATGTATAATGTGATGGATATGGAATCTTGATCTGTCTAAACAGATTGGCAAAGTGTGTGCACAGATTCGTATGTCAGAATATTATAGCCACGTTATACCTTCTTTTAATTTTACTATTATTTAGAGAATAGAGTCACTTTCTTACAAGGACAGAGTCCATAATGTAGTCTCTGATTATCCTCATAATACTGCTTTGAAGGAGGATACCATCCAGTCTCAGCTTTCTGCTCAGTCTTTTTAAAGTCTTGATTCTCATGATAATGTGGAATTATCTTGAGGACACAAGAAGCCGGTCCCATCTTAGACCCGCAGAAATCTGGTCGCAGCCTTAAACCTGTGACAGAAAGGGGCAGACAGTGAGGTGGCATCAGAGTTCACACCTGAATCCTTCTGCTTTTATTCACCAACAGATCACAGCTCACACTCATCAGGAAGTCAACACAAACTTCCGCAGAGCAAAAAAAGCGACTGTAATTTTTTCGCCCCTGTAGTGAATTTTGAGAACATTCACAGGCGAACTGCTATATAACTCTATAGCCTTCTATGAATCATCAGCAAGCTGTTGCTCTGGATCAATCAGCTCTCTGTAATTTGTCCTCTCCTTCTGCAAACGTGGAGTCAGCTGATAGAGCAGTTTTTGAAATTGTCAGAGGAACATTCTCAAGTATTCTGAAGAATTTCTCAGGATACAATTTAAGCTGCTGGATCATTGTGTGAAGCCCCCCCATCTCCTGTCACAAGGTCAGTATTGGATGTACCCAGACACTTCAATTCTTCTTTTTCTTTTTGTTAATTAATAGGCTTACAACCATGACCAGGTCATCATCACTTGAGGATGTAGTCGCCATTGTTTCTCCATTTCCATCTTCTCTCTCCCCGTATTTTTATGCGAATATGCTAAATTTGTTCACAACGCACCAGGTGTGTATAGGATAAGGCGTAAGCTGAACATTCTGCATTTTTGCATCGCTTTGCTGATTTGCCGGTGTGAGCAGGCAGGAGCCTGGTGCTGACACTGTCTGAATGGATAGGGGATAATTCTACTTCTACAACACTTAAAGATCATAAAAGTGGCTGTACTTTTATTGGAGTGAAGTACAGCAGTACTCTGTCCTCCTGCAGTGAAAAGGTGCAGATCTTGGATGACTGCAGGCTAATGTGTTCAATGCAGTGGTTCCTGAAGTGTTGGGAACCACCACGCAGTTTTTGGAGCATTGTTAAAGGATGCCTGTACAGAGCAAACCCCCAACTTCCCCCCATCCAGAGATATTTTTCATGGCACTAAAGAGCACAGTAAAGAGCACAAGTCTTTCAACAGAAAACGTATCGGCAAGACTTTTAAAAATGATCTCTGCTAAGATGTTGACGTCAGTTTAATGTCTTGGCTCCTTTCTCCAGCAGCTAAAATGGAGGTGTTGTCTTGTGCTTTAGTGTCATGTGGATGTTTCTCTCCATGTCTGGATGTCTGAGCATCTCAAAGATAAATGAAGGAAGAAGCTGGAGTGTCAGTCTGAAGAATCATCTCCGTGTTCTTCATTAAAACAGCCGGACTGCAGATCCTCCCTCTGCATTTTGCTGCCTGTCTCCTTCCATCCACCTTCAACCACTCATCTGTCACTCCAGCTATTTTTCACCTGCCTCCCAGCAACAACACACCACCCCCCGTCTTTGAGGGAGTAAACCAAACCAGCGAGCTTAACGCATTTCTAATGAGCCACACTGTTCACAGAGTGCAGATTAGTCATCGTACGTCCGTGTCGAGGATCACGTTCGCGCCGAGGCTCCATGTATCATCTCCTCGCCGCCATCAACGTCTCTGCAGAAAAAAAAAAACAAATGGAAAATCTGCTCCACGAAGAATAATTACTGAGTTCTGCTGATGTCATAAAGAAGTAGAAATCAGTGTTTGTGCGTCTGTGGGTTCATAAAGAAGCACTTCAGAGGATTTAGGAGGAATCTCTGGTTGTTTGAGGAGGCAGCTCTTCATTACTGTTTGACAGATGGCATTGTCTTTAGATATGCTGTCACATTCATATAAATAAACTGGCTGGTGTCATCTATTCAGATCAGAGAGAACGCAGAGAGAGCGCCAGGTGCTCACCGGGCCAACACGTCACCAACAGCTCTGTTTTTTCTCCGAGCGTGTGTTTCGTTAGCATGTAAAGTATGATCTGCAGAATCCGCGAGTGTGAGGAGGCTGGACCAAGATTCAGTCCTGTTGCTGGACCAGGTCTTGTTGAAATGTCCAGACCCATCCCTGATCTGTTCACATTCATATTTGTCTACCACTGACATGTTCTGGAGTATCTTCTGATTGTTTCCCTTCCTCTCATAGCCAAAGACTCATGTTATTTTTTAGCATTTTTGATGGATATTAATTTGAAAAGTTAAAAATGAATAATTTTCAGCATACAGGTTATTTATTTACACTTTGGCTGGTCTACTCATTGTCCCCAGGGTCAGAACCAAGCAGGGTGAAGCTGCATTCAGCTTCTATGGCCCTCACCTGTGGAGCAAACTCCCTGAACACCTAAGGTGTTCACAAACTTTTAGTTTAGTCAAATTAGGGCTGAAAACCTTACTGTTTACCGCAGCTTTCCTATTTTTTCAATTTATTTTACTTTGATATTTGATCATCTCAACAGTTTTAATAATGTTAAATTACATTTTGATATTTTATTGATTTTAAGCTTACAAATGCCTCCTCTGTTCCATGTTTCTCACAGGGAATCAAAACCAAGTTGGGATCTAACTATTGAAATGGGAAGAACAGGAAAAAGGCTGGGCAGCTCTGGGTCAGGGACCCACTGTGCACTGAGTTCTTGGGGACCCGACAAGTCTTGAAGACTTGGACTGAGTGCTGGGGAGCTCAGGGTCTAAAAGCTTGCGACTTATTTCATTTTTCTGGGCAAAGACGGTTTTCATAAATAACTTGGTAAAACATGGAACAGACAATTTATTTTTTATCTGTTTATCTTATTTATTTCAAAACTGTTTATTTCTTACCAATTTTAAAGCATTTTAATCACTCATTTTTTCCTTTCCAATATATAGTATTTCCTTACATCTGTAGAGCACGTTGAATTGCCTTATGTATGAATGGTGATATACAAATAAACTTGCATTGCCTTGCCTAGTTCTGATTTGTATCTGACATCAGTAAATACAGTTATATTCACAGAATGATGTCCTGACAGCCACACTAATGCCAATCTGTGACATGTGGTGTTGTAATGAAGCCAATGAAGAATTGAATAAATCAATAAATAAAAACTGCAGTTTTGCAGAGTCCACTAGTTGTGTCCTGTAGTGAGTCAGTCTCCATGGAGCTCTGTATTAAAGTGTCAGTTTTGATGAAGACTCTATGGGCCAAATTTATTTATGATACTGACCCTAATCTAACATGATTTTTTTATTAACCTTGAGAATACATCTGAAAAATTTTGGATTATCTGATATTCAGGGTTTAGTTATTAACCGGGTTGACAGTTTTGACACTTTGATAAGTAGTCCTCCATACACGTAAACGTTAAATTGTTGTTGGCAATAGAGCTATTGAAAAACACAGGTGGGATGATAATATTATGATATTGATCATCTTTTTGAAAAAAAAAAGAAAAAAAAAACATACGCGAATGATATTGCACTAGAAATAAACAGACTGTAATCCTATGGGTTCACAGTAGCGGTCATTTGCTGGTATTATTTTTGTTTATCAGTAAAGTTTATAAAGTCACGTGCTGCTCCATTTTTGTCTTCCTTGTCCTTAATTTAATTGACTGTGCTGTTTTATATCCAAGTTATATTATACACAATTATCCAACATTATTTATGTGATATTTTATAGCAATGAGGTGAAATCTTGATATCATTATGGCCCTAATAGACAAAACCATACTCTCTGAATATTAACTTTAGTGTTGATATTGTGACCTGCTGTAAAATCCACTCCCTTCCTGAGACTGGCAGCTTTCAGGGTATTAACTCCATATATTTCAGCAATATCCACTCACACCTGTAACTTTGTCCACTTTTTATAGATCTGTTCAAAACTTTTATCACTCATTTATATTTATCTGTCTTTTTTATCTCATCAAAATCTTTTTTTTTAACAAGTTATACTTTGAAAACCATAACTATTAATAATTATTTTCCACAACTCAACTGTCATCTATTTTATAAGCTTTTAAATTATGTTGGGTTAGTTATGCATTTCGACACATGGCTGATCAAAAAGAATTCGCCTTTTTTGTGTGTGTCCTTTTTTTAATGACTGATATAAAAAATAAATAAATAAATAAATTAATTAATTAATAATAAAAAAAACTCAGATTCAGACGGAGTACAAAAATCTGTAAAAAGTGTGTGTCATAAAATGTGTTTTTCAGTCATATTAGTCAAAGTGTGACCAGAGAAAACAGAGCAGCGCGCGCGTGCGCACACACACATGCACACACACACACACACACACTAAATGAGCCCAATGAGTTCTAAAGGGAGGACCTCTTTGCTCGTCTTTGGCTCTGACATTCTCTCCCCATGTGATCGACATTTCCTGTTTATTACCACACACTGTTGCTCTGGTACCTGATCCAGTTGAACCAATCAGAATCAAGGGGAGAGGCTACATGTGATGTCACCATTGTAGAGTGAATACCTAGAATGCTACATGTTCGATTGAAGGAGACTATCGTAGAGCTGTTTTTATATCTCAGATACAACTCTGTTTATACCTGAATGGTTAAAGACCTTAGAGTGAGAGGCGGTCTGCAGAGCTCTAAGCAGATGGACTCTCACCTGTCCCTGCAGGAATTTACTGTTTACATTACACTCTAAAATAATGCAATAAAACCATGTACAGTTAAGGTCATTCAAACCACAGGTACCTGACTTTTCCTGAAAATGTGAAGGTTGTACTCTACATTTTATCAAGTGAATGAGATTTTAGTGTTTTTTCCCTTCAATGTTCATTTATCAGAACTAAATCTGTTCATTATATTTATTTTTTAAGCTTTTAAAGATGTGCTGAAATGTTGCCCTGCAGATTTTCTTTAGCTTTAGCTTTTAAGGGAAGTCCCTAATGCTTTATAGAAGAAAAAAATGGATGAGAGGCTTTTGTCTTGAATTAGATAACAGATATGATATTTGTTATTTTTCTTTAATTATTAAAGATGCTCTCTAAATTCGTATTTTTTTCCTGCAATTGTCCCTTTCACATGATGTTTTGTTTGACTATTTCGGCATTTTTTAGCTGTATGTGTTTTATATGCATTCCTGAATGTCCTTAAATACACATTTTGATGACATTTTTATTTTATTTTTTTATTGTGAATAACAGATTTGAACAATTTTGTGTATGCAGGTTCTGTCAGTCGTCATTTGAAGAATGTATTTTGTGCCCCAATATGATCTCTCTTCCAGGGGTTATTTATGACCTTCTAATGCCTTATTCTCTATGAAACTTACATGACTGAATCATGTTTGTTATAATTTTGTCATTAAATCAGATGGTAGGCTGGATAAAGTTTAAACACCAATGCTGGATAATTTCCATAGAAGCAGATTTTTTATTTCCTCCTGTAATTCTAAAAACTCAGCTGCTCATTTTTAAAGAGCAAAACTTTTCCTTTTTTTATAAATTTTGGGGTTGAAAATGAACCTCGGTGTTGTGAGTGACTGATGCATCTCTGCTTTTGGAGCGAGCCTCCCTCAGTGGTTGTCCTCGCCGCATGGAGGACGGGAGGAGCGGACTTGTTTTGTTTTTTTATTTCCTGCCAGCAGCGGCTCTGAGACGACGGCTCTCTGCGGCAGCATATCACCATCTGAATCTCTACCTTCACATCAGGGAGCAGAGCTGTGACTGCTGGGATTAGGCTAATTACACATTCACCCAGGAGGATGCACAAAGACACACACACGCACACACACACACACACACACACACACACACACACACACAGGAGATCCTGCGTGAGCCAGCGTGAGCCATGACCTTATTTCTATTGTGTTTTCATAGCATCTCATTTACTAGCACCTCCAGCTAATGCTAATGCACAGATTTCTCCACGCTCTGCTTTAACTATTGATCCCAGGCTGCACAGACCTCACATCTGTGTCTCAAAATATATCAGAAATACCTCTAATCTACCCACATTATTAACCCAGAATATTGCTCTTCATTGATCATTATGTTTGATCTATGCATAAAGACTGGTGGGGGTAAAGAGCTGCAGAGCAACTGTCGTACTTTTAGCATGAAGTAAATTGTGGCTGCAAAAATAATATTAATCTTATATTTTGAGTGAAATTTGTTGTTTTAATATGTTACAATTACACGGCAAAACATGCAAAAACACTCTGACTTTATTAAGCATTGATGTCTTATTTCTAGTAAAAGTTTTACAAGGCTCAAGTTTTGCTCCTTCACCTGGCAAGTCCAGGAAAATATCTGGTTTTAAGGAATGATACACCAAAAAAAAAAAAAAAAAAAAAAAAAAAAAATCACCCTCTGTCAGCAGAAAAGTAAAAATATACTTGTTCAGCTCCTGAAGAAAGGCCTTGACTTCGTCAGGAAACTTGTAAACCTTTTAATGTATAACTTAAATAAGTAGAATACCATTAGTCAGATGTGCTGTAAATTTAAAAACTTTTATTTTATTTTTTTTTTCTGGTCAAACAAACTCATTCAAAAATGTCTGATCTGTAAGCAGCCTGTTAGTTAAGCACACCACCATACTCTAAAATCCACAGCAAAAGTTTGATTTTTTTTACGTACTTGGCATGAATTACAGACTGAAATATGACAACAGGGAGCATTAAAGTATTAAACCACCGTAAGGGAGTCAGCTGTTTGACAGCAGAGAAAGGAAACCCTCTTTTCACATCATCCACAGCAAAGATTCACATCCATCCACTCACATATGGCTGTTTTGCCTTAATTGCTTTAATTTCTTTATGGTGCAGTTGTTGGGTATTTTTTGGAACTCTTTAATCTCTTAATTGGGTTTTACATCATTTTAATAGACTTGAGGGCCTTTGTGTATTTTAACTGCTTCTCTGTTCCTGTGACTACTGTCTTGTTCACTTTTCCTGCTTTTATTGTTTTAACTCATCTTGTTTAAATTATTTGACGTCATTATTTGACTTTCTTCTATAAATACTAGATTACATGAGATTCCAGAAAATGAATTTCCCTTTGGGAGCAAATTAAGTTCCTGTCCTGTGTTGTATAATTTGTGCGTTTCTTTAGACTTAGCCTTATATCAAATGTAAAGCTCCTGTGAGGAGTCATGACTCAAGCATGTAAAGGCGAGAAAGGCAGAGACTGCTTTGTCCACAGGGGGGCACCAAGTTCACACTTTGTGAAAACTCCTCACAGGAGCTTTAAAATGGAAAAATGGATCAGTCTGGATCAGTGATTTACTTTGTTGTTCTTTAAACTTGCTGCTTTTCTTTCGTACATGTTTTGTTCATTTTTTAAAGATCTTAAACACAAGATAATAACAAAGCTATTAGAAGACATTGAAGTCCAAATACATTTGAGGGAGAATAATGTCACAATTAACAGCATCGCATTCCTGAGAGATCCAGAGTAATACAGCATGCAGACTTCAGCCGTGGAGGCAGAGTGATAACAAGAGCTTTTTGTGGAGGATATTATGACGCTCAAACTTAAAGATGCAGATAATGATGTCCTCAAACAACTTAAAGAAGGCCCAAAACTGTTTCACGCTGGGCTGGAATGACAGAGGAGGTGAGTTTTAAATCAGTTTAGGGTTCTTTGTTTACCTTAAGAAAGTTTTTGATCCATTTTCTTCAGAAAAGCAAGATTCATTTTTTTCTGAATCTAAAAGAGAAATCAAAAAGAAAACAAAGAGCAAGTGTTTAGTGTTCTTCAAAAGAGGTGACCTCAGTATCTTAAAATCTAGGAGACAATCCTGTTTGAGGTCAAATCTGCTGAGAAACTTTCTTTTCGTCAGAGAAACATTGACACAGACAATGAAGGTTTATCTAAGAAATTTAAAAATGGTCGAAACGTTTCAGCTGCAGGAGAGAAAATGGAAAATCTTTCTGCCTTTTCTGCCTGCTTGTCATCATGGCTCTGCAAACACAGAAACAAAAGAAGAAAAGAAAAAAGAAAAAAAAAACAACACAGGTCCATCAGAGTCTGATGAAAAACATTTCCCTCCCCCTCTGCCTCTCCTTCCTCCCTCCTCTTCCTCTCCTGTTTTCTTCCTCCTGCATTCTAATCAACACACCGTGCTTCTAATTTATGAAATGTAATTCTGCCCTCCAC